GTTATTTTTTTATATTATCACAATTTTATCACAAACACCTATTTACAACTGTAAAAGCCAGCAGAGAACATCGAGGGAGAAAATTTAATTTCCTAAAGCTAAAAGCATCGTTAGTTCAACTTGTCGTATTTGATAATAGTATTTTTTTAAAAAAAAGTTACACTAGGATACCTGTGTCGTGGAGGCAGTTTACAAACATAAATTGCACGAGGACAAACATCCAGACCCGAAACAATTAGTTGTAGGCCATACAAATACTTGTTCCGTGCGGGATTCGAACCCGCGGCCCCCAGCGCATCAACTCATTGCTAAGCCACTGCGCCACGGAGCCGTCTAGTAACAAAGATGTTACATTTACATAACCATATTATTTGTAAGTATTTTTTTATCTACACAACGATAGTAAAAGCAATAAGGACATTTTATTCTTACTATATTAGTATTTTACTGCTTCGCTGGTCTCATGGTCTTAGTGCGGCTGCTGATGTGGTCCCAGGTTCGACTTTCGGGTCAGCCCATAATTAGTTACCAGATTTTTGTCACGAAATTATGAGTAGCCGTTACAGCATATCAAATGTACACTGTTAAATAGCTTCATAGATTGCCTCATAGGTTGCATTGGCAGGCAAGTTAGCACCTGCAGTATTTTATTTGTTAATAATTATTAGGAAGACGCTACTGCCCATCTTTTAGTTTGTTTCTCTCTGTCGCTTCTTACGATACCCACGGGACGATATGGAGTAGTAACTATTCTAACACATTACAAACTTGGGAAACAGTTAGAAGTTCTACAATTTCAGCACGCTATCTTGCGCTGCAAGTTTAATGCATATTTGAACAGTGAAAAGAAACATGCTTCGTATTTTAATTTCATCAAAAATTCAAGAACTACGCGGCACAAGTTTCTCGTACATTCATATCCCCTTAGTTAAATGCACATTACATACATAAGTTTGTCTAATGTTGTGACCAGCTTATTTGCATTTATAGTAAAGTGTTCAGTAATAAACCGCAACTCACAAAATTTATACCGAGGCACAATGATCTGCTACGATCGGAGCGCCGGTCACACCTAGTGGCAACATTGCGACGTAATATGCGTTGTAATAATCTGTGGAGTTAAAAAAAAGAGAAGAGGAGGGTAGGAGGCGAGACAAGCCATATACACATTCTCTTTGTGTTCGTGATGTGAACATCTCTCCAAAAACTTAAAAAAAGGGACTACTCCAGAGTGTACCGTGTACAATCTAATTGCTAGTGTATTCTACCGTGTAGAAGAAGCTACCAGGAGCTGTCAACGTTTGCTGATCTTGGGAGGCTGGCTAGTAAGACCGTGAGTAGTTTGTTGCTGTTTTTGGTGTGATTTTGTGACTGCGGTAACTGAACGTTTCAGGGGATTTAGATTATCAATACAGTCCACTATATCTAATAAAATAATCCCAATCCGCCACATTTCTGGCCTTCGAGCCGCATATATTCGAATTAGTGATCTTCGAATAATAATTTTCTACCCTTAATTCGCGTCCCGTGGACGTCATATATTTGAGTAAAACTACGCATTTAATTAATTTAATATCCCTTATTTAATTTGCCTCTTTTTTACCTGGATGTCCATTGCTCGCGGTGCGTTTATAAAGTATTAATTTTGTAATTTGTTCATAATGTCGGATAAATTACAAATAAAAAGGCAAACACTTATTTTTAAAAAGGAATACCTATTTGCTAAATTACAAAAGGTTTTCGATATCGCGAGATCCCAAATAAATGATCCCACACAAATTCAGAATTTCTTAGCCGATTATTCCGAATTAGAAAGTGTCCGCTCAAAGTTTGAAGAAACAGTGTTAAATATTATTGAAATAGATATATCATTAAAACCGGAGACAAGATTGTCAACGCGAGAATTAGATACATTTGATGAACTTTATAAGGCATGTAGGTTGCAATATTTAAGATTAAAACCGGACGAGCAGGCATCCCTCAGTAGGAAAGATAGGAGTGATGTAAGGCCGTCATTACCTAAATTACGTTTATTTGAATTCGATGGTGATATTGAGAAGTGGACCACATTCTACGATACATTTATATCACTTGTCCACAATCGAGATTTCGACGAAATAGATAAGTTTCACTATTTGCTTTCATGTGTTAAAGGTTCGGCATTAAACATTGTTAAAAAATTGCCCATAACAGCCGCTAATTATACTCTCGTATGGCAAAGTTTATGTAATAAATATCAAGATGATCGAATACTCGTGGGTAGGTACATCGACAAAATGATAAACTTTACGCCGTTAAATAAAGATACTACCGCAAATCTTACTTTATTTATCGAAACATTCGATCACTCTTTTAAAGCCATCGAGGCATTAAAAATAAAAAATTTACATGACTATTTATTTTGTCATTTAGCCTTACGTGGGTTGGATACGCATACTAGGAGGCTTTTTGAAGAAAATCGGGAGCAAAATTCACTTCCATCTTTTTCGGAATTAATTCGTTTTGTAAATAAACAAGTTAAAGTACTCGAACATTCATCGAATAGTACGATGTCGTTACAATCAAGAAATAAGTCTATATGTAACAATTACAAAGGCAACAATAATAACCACTACAAAAGTTATTCAAAGACAGTTTTAAATACTAATGTGTCGAATTATAATAAAAATAAAAAAATAATTTGCGCGCATTGCAATCAAAATCACATGATTTATAGGTGCGATCAATTTCGTAAATTGACCGTAGATAAAAGGATTGACCGTGTCAATACCTTAAAATTGTGTCATAATTGCCTAAAAGGAAATCATGATACCTCAACTTGTAAAAGTGAGATGTCTTGTGGTGTATGTGCGTCACTACATCATTATCTATTGCATAGGGAGCCAGTGAGCGACACGCTCGTGCCAACATCCACCCGTCCATTGTGCTCTGACTCGCAAGTGCAACAAGCACTCGTCTCGTCTCAGGCTATGAGTGACTCAGAGCGTTATACGATAGATACGCTTCATTCCAATAACGCTCACTCGGGTTACGGTGTTGTATTGGGAACGGCGCGCGTGTTAGTAATAGATAGTAGCGGCCAGCTTCAATACTGCCGTGCAGTTATTGACTCTGGAGCTCAGAGCTCATTTATTACAACTGAGTGTGCTCAACGTTTGGGCTTACCTCGAAAGAAGTGTTCGTTTAATATTTATGGTCTCGGTGGAGAGGCTGTAAAAAATCACGGCATGATTACATGCACATTAAGGTCCCTACACACTGACCTACCTAGTTTTACACTGAACATGGTCGTAGTGACTAAGGTATCTGCTGATATGCCTAACGTTCGATTCCACTCGGACGTTATTAATAAATATAAGAATTTTAATTTAGCTGATCCATTATTTTATAAGCGTTCGCGTATCGATATACTATTGGGCAATGATATAGTTTCGGAACTAATTAAGGATAAACCTTATATTATTTCATCGGATATACCAAGCGTGATCGATACCGCTTTCGGGTTTGTTGTAAGTGGTAAACTTTATAGCAATGATAAGGACAATTTAAAAAATTATAATTTATCAGTCTCATTTGATGAACAAGAGTCTTTAGATCAAACGTTGCGTAAGTTTTGGGAAATCGAAGAATTGCCAAGCAAACCCTCGATTAATCCTTTGGAACAATTAGCGGAAGACATTTTCGTGGCTCGTTATAGTCGTACTGAGGATGGTACCTATTCAGTGCCGTTACCATTCATACCAGACCCGCCTCCGTTGGGCGCGTCACGAGCGGCAGCCGAGCGGCGACTCTTGTTCACCGAGCACAAGTTGAATCGTTCACCTGTATTACGACAAGCCTATTCAGAGTTCATGTGCGAATATGAAAATCTAGGGCACATGGAGCTTTATTCGGGGGACACCCCAAGCAAATATGTGATACCTCATCACAGTATACTTAAGCCCAGTAGTTCCACTACTCCTTTGCGTGTGGTATTCGATGCCTCGGCTAAAACGTCCACGAACGTTTCGCTTAATGATATTCTATTGACCGGGCCTAATCTGTATCGAGATATTGGGGCTATAATATTGAATTTTAGGTTGTTTGAATATTGTTTGATTTGTGACGTATGCAAAATGTATCGGGCAATTAAACTGAATCAGTCAGATAGATGTTATCAACATATTTTGTATCGTCATTCGCCTAACGATGCCATTGACGTTTATGAATTAAAAACTGTCACTTACGGCTTAAGTTGCTCACCGTTCTTAGCTATCCGCACCCTCTTACAGTTAGCCTATGACGAGGAAGAACGTTTCCCACTCGCTGCAAAGGTTGTGCGCGAGGGCGTGTACATGGATGACATTCTATATTCTTGTAGTTCATTGTCACAGATATCTCGGTTACAAGATGAACTTTTAGAGATGTTTAATTCCGGTGGCTTTATACTCAAAAGGTGGGCGAGTAATAGTGCAAAAGTTTTACAACGCGTTCCGTTAGAAAACCGAGAGTGTCCTGTTACATTTATGAAAGATTGTAACGAATATTCAGTCAAAGTGCTAGGTCTGAAATGGTTCCCTTTGACTGACTGTTTTTATTTCACAGTAGATAAGACTGATAAAGTAACAACTAAACGTTCTGTTTTAAAATTATTAGCTTCTATTTACGACCCCGTGGGTTTTATTTCACCGTGCATTTTCATCGCGAAAGAGATAATGCAAGATTTATGGAAGCTGGGCATAGGATGGGATGAGCAGCTGCCAACTGACGTAACTAAGCGCTGGCTTAATTACGTTGATGATCTCCCGCGACTAACGGCAATCAAGATAGATAGACATATGCTGCTACCAGAACAGACCGAATGTGAATTGGTCGCCTTTTGCGATGCAAGCTCTCGCGGTTATGCTAGTTGTGTGTATGTGATCAGTCGTAACGATAGAGGTCAAACTAAAGTACGCCTGGTGACAGCAAAATCTAAAGTAGCCCCCGTCAAACCATTAACTATCCCGAGGTTGGAATTAATGGCGTCAGTTTTGTTAAGCAAATTAATTAAATATGTCCGTGACATTTTAACTCGTGTAAAAATTACTCGTATTACTGCGTTAACCGATTCGACTATCGTGTTGACGTGGCTTCAGACAGAAGCTTACAAATTAAAGCCGTTTGTTAGTAACCGTGTTACTCAGGTATGTGAAGTGTTACCTCCACACTGTTGGCGTCACGTGAGTAGTGAGTGCAATATGGCAGACATATGCTCGCGCGGAGCGTCTCCGTCACAGCTCGTGGAGTGCAGTGAGCAGTGGTTGAAGGGCCCATCTTGGTTGTACGACGACTATTCGCAGTGGCCAGTGAGAACATTTATCAACCAACATGAAAGTAATACACCCGAAATGAAATCAAATCATACATTAGGCTCCTTCAATTTAATCACAAATGAAAATAATTCGATAGAGGAGACTAAGTTAGAGTTCTGTGACCGAATCTTTTCCAATTTCTCTTCTTATTATAAACTGCAACGTACGTTTGCTCGAATATTGAGATGGTTCCGACTCAAATCCGGTCACTCGAAGCAATCAATACTGACGACTAACGAATTAAATACTGCCCAAGATGTTTTAATTAAATTAGTACAAAGTGCATACTTCGCAAATGAAATAAATAGATTGTCAAAGGGCACAAAGTACGTTCCGTCGTTGAGAAAATTATCTCCATTTATTGACGAACGCGGATACCTCAGGGTGGGGGGTCGAATAAATTATTCAGCGTTACCTTATAACGCAAAGCATCCTCGTTTATTACCTAAAAATAGTAGATTTACCTTTTTACTTATTGAATATTTACATAAAAAATATTTACACGTAGGTCCACGCACCTTACAAAACATTATTAATCAAAATTTTTGGATTTTAGCATCCCGTCGCATTATTCGGTCAGTTTTGTCCAAATGCAAAATTTGTTTTAAACACAACCCAGTGCTCTTACAGCCGGAGATGGCACCTTTGCCAGCAGCCCGATTGATACCTTGTAATGTTTTTGAGCATGTAGGGGTGGACCTCGGTGGTCCGTTCTTTACAAAAGAAAGTTTACGACGAAATGCTAGGGTTGAACGGTCATATTTAGCATTATTTATTTGTTATTCGACAAAAGCTGTACACCTTGAAGTCTTATCGTCGTTGTCATCAGACTGTTTCCTCGCGTGTTTAGACAGATTTGTAGCGCGACGCGGTGTGTGCTCCTTCCTTTATTCTGATTGCGGAACTAATTTCATAGCTGCTAATAAGCATTTAACCGAAGTACAAAGATTTATGCTCGAACAAAAAAACAATATATTAGAGGGTTGCTCAAAACGACAAATTATATGGAGATTTAATCCCCCTGGTGCACCACATATGGGTGGGCTCTGGGAAGCTGGAATTAAATCCGCCAAGTATCTATTAACGCGAGCCGTAGGAGAAAAAAGTTTGACGTTCGAGGAACTCACAACAGTGTTTTGTAAAGTAGAAGCGATTCTCAACTCGCGGCCGCTTTGTCCGTTACCAGCTAGTGATAATCCTGATGAGTTCAACGTTTTGACTGCGGGACACTTTCTAATTGGAAAAGGGTTAACAGCAGTACCTGAGTATAATGTAGAGGATATAACAATAAATCGATTATCACGTTGGCAATATATTCAAAAATGTTCACAAATGTTTTGGCGTAGATGGAGTCACGAATATCTAAATACGCTGCAACAGAAAGCAAAGTGGCATTCGGATAGATCTAATATAAAAATAGGTGATCTCGTAATCATAAAAACTGATAATGTACCGCCGTGCAATTGGCCTTTGGGTAGAATTGAGGCTCTTCACCCCGGTCCAGATGGGATTGTTCGTTGTGTTACGCTTCGCACTCAAAAGAGTACTCTACAGAGACCAGTTAATAAACTGAGTCCTCTACCTTATTCAAATTAGTTTTTACGTGTATTAATATTTTTTTTTCTCGTTGAGGACATTCTGTGTCTCAGCGTTATTTTGCATGTTCCGTAGCTTAAGTTATAATATTTTCTCTAATATCTTTTTAATATAGTTAGGAGAAACCATCAAGATGGTTTCGGTGGGGGGTGTGTTCAGTAATAAACCGCAACTCACAAAATTTATACCGAGGCACAATGATCTGCTACGATCGGAGCGCCGGTCACACCTAGTGGCAACATTGCGACGTAATATGCGTTGTAATAATCTGTGGAGTTAAAAAAAAGAGAAGAGGAGGGTAGGAGGCGAGACAAGCCATATACACATTCTCTTTGTGTTCGTGATGTGAACATCTCTCCAAAAACTTAAAAAAAGGGACTACTCCAGAGTGTACCGTGTACAATCTAATTGCTAGTGTATTCTACCGTGTAGAAGAAGCTACCAGGAGCTGTCAACGTTTGCTGATCTTGGGAGGCTGGCTAGTAAGACCGTGAGTAGTTTGTTGCTGTTTTTGGTGTGATTTTGTGACTGCGGTAACTGAACGTTTCAGGGGATTTAGATTATCAATACAGTCCACTATATCTAATAAAATAATCCCAATCCGCCACATAAAGAATTACTCAAAAAAAGAGAAAAGTTCTCCATTTTCTATTGAATTCAAAAAGGAGACGGTACTCAATTCGACTGTATGTTTTTTATGTGTGTTACCTCATAACTTTTTATGGGTTATCCGATCTCGATGATTATATTTTTTATTTGAAAGCTGGTGCTTCACATGTAGTCAATTTGACTAAGGTCTGACCAATGGTTTTTGAGTTATTCTTAATAGTTAATATTGAAATCGGTTCTACGAATTTTTTAATTTTTATTTATTAAGAAATCTATTCCTTTTCCATATACAAGTACTGTACAGCGGCCACTATGAGGTGACGTTTTCAAGGCTCCGTGCAAAATCTAGCAAAACAGTACACTTTTTTAATCTCATCCATGTATCACTGCCATCATCATCGTCATAATCAGCCTGTGGAAGTTCTCTGTTTGACGAAGGCCCCTTCCAATACGCGCTAAATGGCGGTCCGTTCTTCGGCTTTACGCATCCAGTTCCTACCAGTCATTTTACGCTTCCAGTATATCTCTCTGTAACAATCGTGAATCTCGCTAACACAATGACTGCGAAAATTTCAATTTGTACTCTTTATCAAACGAGTATGATATTAAAAGCAATTCTGTAAGCATTTTTGGGATCAAACGTAACGTCACATAATCCACACTATACAACGATTGTTCTATGGTAAATATGCATTTACTAATTAAATTTTATGATGATGACGATGAAAGACGTAATACGTCATACGCTTGATGAGCAACAACGGCTGGACAAATGTGGGCAGTTTTTGTATTATAAGAAAGTTCCTAGAATAAAAAAATATGTTTTGTTAAAAAAAACATAGGAACATGGCATTACTAAATACAGACCTAGATTTTTCTTGTGATAGAGCCATGGTACAGCTATATTTTACTTTTAGTACAAATAGGTTGGCTAGACCGGGGAAGAATAACGGGCTTTGACAGTATAACTGCGGCACAGTATAGTGAGTGTAGAAAACCGGAGGCCTCTCTTACTGGTAACGAGGCAATATATCATTTAGCATAAGCTTATTGATTCTTAACAAAGCATTAATGTAGGTGTCTTTGGGCCACAAACACAGCATCTACTTATCATAAAGCGGATTGTCTCCTCACTTGTTACTTTTATTTTATTAAAAAATGTTTGTTAACATATTTGCTCTATTGTCATTATCTTTAAAGAAAATATTTTTTGTGGAATTAACACCGCAATTGTGCAGAAGTCCGAGGAGTACAATTTGCCACTATGTCTGGCGTATGTGGACTATGAGAAAGCCTTTGATTCCGTCGAAATTTGGGCGGTGCTGCAGTCCCTTCAGCGATGCCAAGTTGACTGTCGGTATATCGAAGTGTTGAAGTGCTTGTACAGTAGGGCTACGATGGCTATCCGAGTACAGAACCAGAGTACGAAACGTATCCAATTGCAGAGAGGTGTAAGACAGGGTGACGTCATATCCCCGAAACTCTTTACCGCTGCATTGGAAGATGTTTTCAAGCTTCTGGACTGGAAAGGATACGGTATCAACATCAATGGCGAGTACATCACTCACCTTCGATTTGCCGACGATATAGTCCTTATGGCAGAATCGCTGGAGGACCTAAGCACTATGCTCAATGACCTCAATAGTGTTTCCCAACGGATAGGTCTTAAGATGAACATGGACAAAACAAAGATCATGTTTGATGTCCATGTCACACCTATGCCGGTAGTTGTTGGGAACACTAAGCTCGAAGTTGTTGACGAGTATGTTTACCTGGGACAAATAGTCCGACTAGGTAAGTCCAACTTCGACCGAGAGGTCAATCGACGGATTCAACTCGGTTGGGCAGCGTTCGGGAAATTACGGCACATCTTCTCGTCAGGTATACCTCAAAACTTTAAAACGAGACTGTACACCCAGTGCGTGTTGCCAGTGATGACATACGGAACTGAGACGTGGTCCTTCACTGCTGGCCGTATGAGGAAGCTCAAGGTCGCTCAGCGAGCTATGGAGAAGGCTATGCTCGGAGTTTCTCTGCGTGATAAACTCAGAAATGAGGATATCCGCAGTAGAACTAGAGTGATCGACATAGCCCAACGGATTAGTAAGCTGAAGTGGCAATGGGCCGGCCATATAGCTCGAAGAACCGACAACCGATGGGGAAGAAAGGTTCTCGAGTGGCAGCCTCGTACCGGCAGGTGAAGTGTAGGGCTTCCCCCCACTAGATGGAGTGACGACCTGGTAAGATATGCAGGAAGTCGATGGATGCAGGTGGCTCAGGACCGTGCTTTGTGGCATTCTTTGGGGGAGGTCTATGTTCAGCAGTGGACTTGTGAAGGGCTGTAATTATGAAATGATAACACCGGATATTCTCTTAAGAGTTAAAATTGAGTGACAGGCGAACAGCGGGGCGGTGGGTTTGATTCGCTCTTGTATACCGTAATCTGAGTAATAGCCAAAATGAATTTATCAAAATGAAAATGGGTACACACGAAAATGGTGGAAGAAAGAAGAAAAAGCGAGAAGTATTTTTATTAATTAAACAATTTTGAATAGAACTTGACAATGATTTAGCTAGTTGTATCTTTACGATGATAATCTAAAAGTGCCGAATAGAATAACAAATCTCTACGGTAGAGCGTGAATCTGAATTACTTTTAATATGGCATCGTTAATTAAGTACATTTATTCCCCTCTTACCTTTAAAGAAGCTTTCAGCATTAAATATTCATATATCCAATAACAAAGAGCTTTCATTCTCATTACGTTCCGTACGTACGTATTATAAGAGACGCTATGCGAAATGCCCGAAAATCTTTATAATTTCTGATATAAAATATCCAAATATCTCATTCAGGTAAAAAATATCCAGATCGACTAAGGAAAGCAGCATCAAAGTGCGTAACGTCTGGTACTACTATCCTCAATCCACCCGCCAAGTGGTCATCCATTATAGCCTATAAAAGTCCACTGCTGTACATAGGACTCTTCCATACTTGTAGATAGCCTCATAGGGAGGATTTTGTAATAATTGCACGCCTTTCACGTGGGTTGGCAACCGCAGTTTTATACTATTTTGAGTTGCTGTAGGGAAGATGCCCATCTTCTGTTTTAGTTCTCCTCTGTCGCCTCTTACGACAACCACAGGACGATATGGGTTAGTGGATATGCTTTTTCTTCTGTTTTTCCTCACTTTTCTTTAAATTTTATTTTCCTCCTCTTTTCTTCTCTTTTTCTTATCTTTTTCTTAATTTTTATTTTCTTTTTTGCAATTAAGTAAGTACTCTGTTCTTGTTACAAAAGCCAATGCACTCTTAACTACACGTTCCGTTCCATGTTTAACTTCCTTCGTGTTTCCTTCCGTTTTGTGAGTAACTCGTCCAGAGTTTAAAGTACTCATATAGTCCAGTCGAGCAGTAAGCTAAAGTGGCGTTTCGTTTAAACACATTCACTGGAATTCGACCTCTCTCATAGCAGTTGCTACCGTTATCGCCATTCCTAACAGGCGGAGCGAAGAATTTTATATTTCAAACTCAAACTCAAACATTTTATTGCGGTCATAATATGGTTACATTAAGTACTTCTTATCTTAGATATAATAGAGCCAAAAATGAGCCTTGATAGGGAATAGCAATAATACATGTTAATTTAATTAAATTAAATAAGCTAGATAAATGAATTATATTTATATTTTTTCTCTAAAACTAAATATTACTTTTAGATTCAATAAACTTTTGCCACATTTAATAATTAATACAATGATAATAAAAGCGTATATAAAATAATAAGTGATTAATTGAATACATAGGCGGCACTGAAAATATCGAGAATCAAGGAAGTGACACAACATTACTATTTAAAAATGTATTTATTGCTTTTTTGAAGTACTTTCCGCGAAATTTGACACATTTTTCCATACGATGGAACCAATCATTGAAGCAACCATTCCATTCGGAAGTTGTCGTCTCCAAATTGGCAGTTTTGTAGGCGTCCACAGCTTCTTCAGGTAATGAAAATCTCTGTCCACGCAATTTATTCTTTATTTTAGGGAAAGTATAGAAATCAGTAGGGCTTAGGTCGGGGCTGTACGGCGGATGGTCTAATAATTCTATGTTTTCTTGCTCTAAAAACTCTTTTGTTCTGTGTGCGGTGTGAGAACTCGCATTGTCGTGATGGAGGATGATGCGGCGGTTGCAGTTCTCTTTACGGAGTTCAAAAATGACCTATGGCGAACAAATGCTAGCATAGCATTCTGCATTAACCGTTCTTTGTCCCTCAAGAGGAATAGTCGTAACATGGCCGGTTTGGGAGACAAACGTGGCCACTATTTTTTTTGCAACACTCCGTGAACGAACAATTTTTGTTGGCTTTAACTCATTTTCGAACACCCAA